TGTGCTTCAGTATCCTTGTGTGTAAAATAGGATAGTAATAGTCACTGACTATTAGGATTGCTGTGATATTTAAATAAGATAGTGTATATGAAGTTATTAGAACAGTACCTGATACAAATTAGGGCTTACTAAACATTTGCTATCATTATCCTTACAGGGCCCAGCACTTGTACATGTTCAATAAATGTTTATCATTGCATACTGCTTACACATATCCACAGACATATCTGAATCTGTGCACAAGTTACTATCAAGATGCACCCACACTTCAAATCTCCAGGATTTCCATGTGCTTCCTGCCATGATTTGTGCCTCTAACCATCCCAGGGATCTGAAATTTTTTCTTTGATACTGTTTAGGAAAGAATAGGAAATCAAATCTTGGTGGAATAGAAAAAAAAGAAAGAAAGAAAAAGATTTAAAATCTGTAGTATTGTCCCCAGTATTTCCATGCTATAAGTTTTTGCCTCATAGGCAGTATGTGAACAAACTTTGCTTGGGTATATCTAGCCATTCACAGTTACAAAAAAAATCACATTTATTATACATGTAATATTGCATGACTTCACAAAAGGTAAAAAAGACAACTTATTTTCAAGAGGAAATAAATTCTCAGATTGAAGAGAAAATGAATTAAATTCAGATAGCTTGAGTATGGCAGATGTGAAATCAACCCAGATGTTCTGACTTCTAGTAGCATACTTTTTCCCTGTTCTCCTCTCTGCAAAGGGACCTTGAAGAAATAGCCAGAAACCTGGAACTTCTCTAGGAGGTATATGTATGGTCAAATGTTAGTGGAAACTTAGATATTTATGGTTTTTATCCCATTCCATATACCTAGAGCTTGGGGTCAGGTGTACACAGCCTTTTCTATAAAGAGGAGTACTAGTGTTGAGTTATTTATCCTTAGCTGGGTGCAGTTAGTGTTATGCGGTAAAGATTGTGATGGCCATCACAAAAGGCATCAGATTTGAGAGTCCATTTCTGTAGTTCAAGCTCTGACCAAAGCATTGAACTGCTGTGAGTCACTTACCATATGCTTTCTAATGGTTTGTAGTAGTTTTTGGAATCTGATACTTACCTTTGTGCTGTTACTCAGGTAATGAATATAGTTTCTTCAGCTCAACCATTCTGTTGTTACCATATGAGATAATGCACTAGGTTTCTTGTTTTTGTTTTTAAGATTTTATTTATTTTAGAGAGCCTACACAAGTAGGTGGAGGGGTAGAGGGGAGGGAGAAACAGACTCTCTGCTGAGCAGGGAGCCTGAGGCAGGACTCCATCCCAGGATCCTGGAATCACGACCTGAGCCAAAGGCAGACACTTAACCGGCTGAGCCACCCAGGCACAACCCTGGACTAGGTTTTATACCCGTTTGACAGTAGAGTGTGCTGTTTATTGGAGAGATGGCATGTGGACACATGCTGAGCAAACATGCCATTAACCATCATTAAGTATGTTGAACACGAACTCTGTGGCCAGTTCTAGGCAAGACATTATAGCAGAGACCAAAAGAGACTAAGACACATGAAGCCATTAGCAAATGCGTGTATGGAAAATCCATGTTTCTCAGTGTATGTGGACATGCAAAAGGAAATCAAATAAGTCAGAGCCCTTAGCCCTGATTACCTAGACAAGAGTTTGTCACATGTAGTTATCAACATATGTTTGTAGAATGAAGGCAACATCAGGGTGGGTGGATAACTGTAGCTGTCAGACTTTCTGCAAGAGATAGGATTTGAGGTATTTGAAAAATGCTTGGAGGAGACAGCAGCTATCCTAAGTGAAGTAGAGAAATAAAAACAAGAAGAGCAGTTAGAGAAGGTGAAAAATGTGGGCATAATATCACCCATTATTAAAGACATTGTATAAAGCTCCATTAAATTTACAATAGTCACATAATAACATCCTAGAATCTGTAACTCATATGTCTTCTACTTTGATTTTTGAGTGATGATTAAGCCTTTTCATGCTGATAAAATATGGCCACTTTTTCTTTTTCTTTCTTTCTTTTTTTCTTATCAACATGTGTTTCATGAAAGTCCTTTGCTTAATTTTTTTAAGGAAATGGTGATGATACAAGGTTATCTCTTTATTGTTTATGACTTCAAAATTATATATAGTTAAGAGACAGAATGAAACACTCCAAGCATTCATTAATGAGTGAATGGGTAAATAAAATGTGATATATACATACAACAGAATATTATTCAGCCTTTTATTAAAGAGGAAGGAATTTATAATACAGGTAACAACATAGAACCTTGATGTTATACTAAATGAAAACACATTACAAAAAATATTGTATTATTCTACTTATATGAAGTTCCTAGAAAGTAGCCAAATCCATAAAGACAGAGTTTTATTGGGGAAGGATTTAAAGATTCTAGAGATGGATAGCAATAATGATTGCACAATGATGTGAATTAACTTAATGCCATAGGACTGTGCACTTAAAATAGCAAAAATGGTAAATTTTATGTTACATATATTTTATCACAATTTTTAAAAATAGAAAACAATGTAAAAAGCAGAATAGTGTTGACAGGGAAAAGGTTAAGAGTTACTTTTAAAATTGCTTTTATTCCAGATGTTTGTATTTATTTTAGAGCTAGTTTGATTTTTTTTGAAAAATAGACTTTATTTTTTAGAGCAGTATTGAATAGAAGGTATAGAGATTTCCCATATGTTCCTTACCTGGACACATGCACAGCCTCTAGTCATTTCTTTTTTATCTTTGAAAACTCGAAAATTAATTATTTTTATAGCAAGGTATATAACCTATTAGGAAAAGATTTACTTTCTTTTTGTTCTCTGAATATTCTATTACATACGTTAGATGGATTTTTTGGAAAATATTGGCATGAGTGTTACATAGCAACCAGCATTCCTAGGGTCTAATATGTAGTACAGGGCCTCTCTAAGTTTGCCATTGTAAAAGAGGTTGTCACTTGTCTAGAGACATGGCATCTCTAGTGGCCTCTGGAAATGTAGAGAGTGGAAGACAGGGCAAAGTTTTCTGCTATAAGGAGACCTAGTGATTCATGGAGGGATGTCAGTTGGGACGAGTAGCTGGCCAATGTGGATCAGTCCCTTCTAGCTAAAATATTTGACTAGGGTTAAAGTTGAAGAGCAAACCAGAATGTGTGCATGACCTGGATAAAACAAGAATCTGCTTCAATCCTAACAGGGGTCTTCTTGAGCTTCATATTTACCTGGGATAGGTGATTGCTAGAAGATGGTTGCAGAAGGCCAGAGGGGCTCAGGGTATCATCAGAGCCTCAAGCACAGGGCAGAAAGTGTAAGTCTGGGAAGAAACAATGGCCTTTTGATCTGGCGGTCCCTGGCATATTGATGTGAGAAGTTCCATCTCCTTGGAGGTTCAGAAGGAGAATCATGTACACGTAGCCGCAAGAACTGATGAAGAGTGAGACGATCATGACTATAAGGAAGGGTTTACTATTTTGTTTAGTCATCATTAGGCAGACATCAAGAAGATCAGAGTTGGCTTCATCTGGCTTCTTTTAGATTCTCTAACACCTACTCAAATCCTAATATCTCTTGCATTAACCTTGTTCCATTTCAACACATACCTTATCTTAGTGATGATGATTGGTTTGGGGTACAAGTGGCCTGCATCTGAGTTGGGTGATCTTATGCTAGAGGTTTGTACATTGAGCCAGGTGAAGCCATAGAAGTTCTGAGGGGTCTTAGCAATTGTTCAGGGAAGAGGAAGCTCTTGGGCCAGGGAGGGCTGGCTCAGAGATCTCCATGGACATTTCAGCCAGAGACCTCTGGTTTATTCATTTGAATATATTGGATTTGGGGGATTATTTCAACTGATGAAATGTATCTGGAACAAAACAGGTAGAAAACCAGGGCTGTTGTGCAATTATTTGTTTGATTTTAGACCTTGTAAATTCAATCATGTAATGTGACTAATATCTGTTTTTTTCTTTTAGTTGGTAAAGCTGACCACTTGCTTTGGAAATACTTAGGAAATATGTGTAGACACAAGGTGTGGCTGCCGTCTGTAAAGATGACTTGAATGAGCTGAGTGAAAGGAAGGCTGGTGGTAGCATTTTAACTTGGTTTGCCTTTTGCTGAGGATGGAATAACAGAAAGGCAAGACAGAGGTACAAGTACATCCTCTCTTCAGGCTTACATGGTAGCATGATCCCATAGCAGTTTACATTGAGAATTTATCCAGACTGTTTTTTTTTTTTTTCTTTTCTTTCCTGAGTCCTGAATAAGGTTGGCTCAAGGCCTAGAAACTCTGCAATTTTTCATGTTCTGGCAACCTAGGAAGAGAAGGTATTTTGCAACTTAGCTCAGTTGTTTCTTAATGTTTGGAGAGAAATATGTCTCTTGTAGCTTGTTTTTTTTAAGGTGAAAAGAAACACACTTTTTCAATGTACAGAAATGCCTGTTCCATATTCATACTAGATTTGCATTTGAGTCCAAAAGCAATACAATGATTTTGTTCTCTGATAATTCTTCCAAGCTCAAAAATTAGTGTGAGCCACACTCCCAATGGGATTCCAATGAAAATTGGATTTGCAATAACTAGGGGAAACACAATAAAACCTTCAGTGTAGAAAGACAAGATTTATGTTCTCTATTTACCTTTATTTTATGTCCTGGGGAATAATCATCTTTGACATTTGTAAACTACCCTGCCTCCAACAATCCTTCAGGTCTTCCTCATTCAAGAGCTGTTCTCCCAATGTCACTTCTCTACTCAACAACATGCTATTATCCAGTGGTAGGAGGCCAAGGCCTTTAAATGGAAAACAGTATGGTGTACTTAAAGGAAAACTTGAAAAACATTCTTCAGGGGAGAAACTCTGGGACTGTGAGTTCCTATGCATATAAACTATCTTGCCAGCCTGTGTGGCTGGTTGGTACAGTGTGCCTTGCAGTGCAACTTCACCTAGAGAAATTATTAAGTGCATCTTTGGTAATTTCAAGCCTTTGGGAAGAGTCCCTTAAAGACTTACCTGGTTTAGGTAAACTTCAGTGTTGCTGATAGGAGACCAACAAACTGTGGTTCATAACAGGGCAAGCATTTCTTAAAATCATAACCTTGAACACAAAATCAGACATGGTAACTATTACCAGTAGTTCTATTTTGGGAGCAGCTTCCAAAATAATGAATACAAATGACAACAACCATTATCCTAGCTTATTTGTGGCATCACACTGTCCTGGGAAACTACAGTTATGGAAATCAAGGGAATATTGCTTAATATTACTATTAATAAATTACATGCTAGAGCAGCAGTGGCAATAGCTCACCAAGTTGATGTAACAGAATATATAAGTATGCAGATGATTCACATTCTATGGAACCCAATCTTACTTTTAAGTCATTTGTGATAAAAGATGCCCAATTATAATTTTGCCTTTAACATACTTTGAATTATAGCAGCTTAACTATATGTTGACCAATTTATAATACTTCAGGTATATACATACACATCTATCTATCATCTATCTTAAAAAAAAAAAAAAGTGTTTCCCTTAAGTTTCTTTAACTGTACAACCAAAATAGAATTATCTACTTCTGGGTACTCATTTTTCACTCTACAGCTCCTAAGATGCCAAAACTATTCTGTTTTGCCTGTGGTTTCACTATATGGAGAATCATTTTTCATCTTTCACTCAAATTCTCAAACCTTTTTAAAGGGAGAAGTCATATTCTTTTTTTCTTTTGGAAAAACACATTTTTAAGGATATATTTTCTACAACTTCTTCAAAATATAAGATGTGCCTGCTTTTTTCTTCCCCTTAAAATTTCTAGTTAGGAACTAGTCCAAATTTACAGGAAAATTTGATTCATGGCTTAATAAGTAAACCCAGACATCTTATATATGTTATACTATAATGAGCACACAAAAAAGTTGTAAATTAAAAAAAAAATAAAAGCATGTTTACAGCATTAATATTGATCAAGTTCAACTAATCTTAATACCTGAATTCAGAAAATAGTAGTATTTTTTAAACTTAATTCGAACCAATTGCTCTTTAAATCTTTGAAGATGGTTTTAAAATTAGTGTTACTGTTTTTAAAATTCTGACTAATTGAGACAGGTCAAGTTGCTCATCTCGTTCTGGACTTTTCCACATTTGGGATTTGGAAAGGGCTAAAACCAGTATTTCAATTGAATGCACTAACAGTGCTGGTCAAATATTCATTTTTTTCTCTCTCTGGTATTGAATTAATAGCATTTATACCACTTAAAATAAGCATCTTATTCTGTAAGACAAGGAGAAATAATCAGGCAAGTAATTTTAATGCTAGTTTTCTCTCTTACATCCTGTTGGAACATATACTTGACACACTAACATTCCCGTTGGAATACTGGTGGTATATCCAATAAACCATTGATTCCAAAAGTACATAAAATCAGTTCTCAGTTACCTCCCCCCACCCTGCTTTAAAGTTAAAAATAGTCTGAGACCATAGAATAGAAGCGCAACTTTTAACCCAGATGACGTTTATGGGCTTGTAATGAGAAGTTAAAGCACCCATTTGCAACTGATACTCCTTAGTGAAGAATGAATGGATGTATTCATTTGCTGAAAAGATAGATAGCCAAGCAATTTTAGATTCTAGCTGTAAAATACCAATAATGTCAAAAGTTCAAGAAAGATGAATAAGGCATTTTCTGCTTGTAATGCATTAATAACATAGAATATAAGATAGAACTGTAAACATGTACTTAAATGCCAATATAGCAACTTCTACATCAGGTCAACATGGAATAAAAGTAACTGAATTTAATCTCCAAATATTCAAAAGACAGATAAAATGTATGAAACAATGGTTTTCAAGGCATTGGACTTAAACCTCACCATTTCGAAATCATATTGAATGTAAATGGTTTAAAAATAATCTCAATAAGGGGAGCATGGGTGGAGCAGTCAGTTAAGCATCCAACTCTGGAGCTCAGGCTGTGATTTCAGGGTTGTGAGATCAAGCCCCGCATCAGTCTCCATGCTCCGCATGGAGTCTGCTTAAGATTCTCTCTCCTTCTCCCTTTGCCTCTCCCACTCGTGATCTCTCTCTCTCTCTCAAATAAATAAATAAATATTTTTTTTAAAAATCCCAATAAAAAGGCAGAGATTATCAGTTTGAATAAGAAAGCAAGAACCAAAAGAAATGCACTTTAAATATAATGAAGGGGCGCTTGGGTGGCTCAGTCGATAAGCGTCTGCCTTCGGCTCAGGTCATGATCCAAGCGTCCTGGGATCGAGCCCCGCATCGGGCTCCCTGGGGAAGCCTGCGTCTCCCTCTCCCACTCCCCCTGCTTGTGTTCCCTCTCTCGCTGTCTCTCTCTGTCAAATCCTTCTTTGGGGAAAAAAAAAAATATATATATATATAATGAAATAAGTTGAAAATAAAAGGAGAAAAAAAAGTATAGCAATGCTAACATTAATGAAAATAAAGCTATACTGGCTATATTAAGGTCCCATGAAGTTGACTGCAGAGAAACAATATATTATTAGGGAAACAGAAGGTTACTTCATAATGATGAAAAAGTCAGTTCATCAAGAAGTCATCATAATCCCAAACATTTACATTCCAAATAACAGAGCTTCAAAATACACCTGCAAACTTGATATAACTGAAAAAGAAATAGACAAGCCACAATTACATTCAGATGCTTCAATATTCCTACCTCAATAGTAGATAAAACAAGTAAAAAGAATATCATTAAGTATATAAAAGACTTGAATAACACAATTGTGTTAGTTAGGATTCTTTAGAGAAATAGAGCCAGTAGAATATCTGTGAAGAGATACATAGAAAGAGATATTATAAGGGGTTGGCTCACATGATTTTGGAGGGTGACAAGTCCCTTGATCTACCGTCTTCAAGATGGAAGCCCAGGAGAGATGATGGTGCAGTTTCAGTCCAACCCAAAGGCCTGAGCACCAAGGAGCTAATGGTATAAGTTCTAGTTTGAATCCAAAGGTCCAAGAACAACAAGTGCTGATGTCCAAGGGCAGAATTAGGTACTTAAGCAGGGAACAAATTCACTCCTCTTCCATCTTTTTGTTCTATTCAGGCCTTTGACAGATTGGATGATGCTCACCTATATTGGTGAAGGTGATCTTTACTCAGTCTACTGATTTAAATACTAACGTCTTCTAGAAGTACCCTCACAGACTCATCTAGAAATGATGTTTTACTAGCTTTCTAGGCATCTTTTAGCCCAATCAAGTTGATGCATAGAATTAATCATCACAGGTAAACCAACCTGAAATTTTGATATTAATAGAACACTCCACCCAACAATAGCAAAATACACATTTTTTTCCAAGTGCACATGGACATTTACCAGGAAAAGACATATTCAGGCCTTAAAGTAGGTCTCAGTAATTTTTTTTCAAAAATATGGTCTCTGACTACAAGGGAACTAAATTAGAAATACAAAATAGGAAGATCTCTGGAAAGTTTCCAAATATTTGGAAATTGAATACCATGCTTCTGTATAACCCATGTCAAAAAAGAAGCAAAAAAGAAATTAAAATTTTGTCCTGGATGCAAATGAAAACACATTTCAAAATTTATGGGATAAGCTAAAGCAATAGCTAGAGGGAAATTTATCACATTAATGTCTATATTGGAAAACAAGAATAGTATTGAGCCAATGACCTCAGCTCACCCTAAGAAACTAGAAAATGAAGAGCAAATTAAGTACAAAATAAGTAAAAGAAAAGAAAGAATAAATATCAGAGCAGAAATCAATATACTAGAAAGAAGGAAAAATATAGAGAAAGACATTAAAACCAAATGATCTTTTTTGATCTTTGAAAAGATTTTAAGAAATTGACAAATCTTTAGCCTGACTAATCAGAAAAATGAATGAAAGATACAAAATTGTCAGTGTTGGAATTGAGAAAGGTGACATTGGTATACATTCTACACATATTAAAATGTTAATAAGATAATATTTTGAATAATTTTATGCTGATCTCTGCAACTTAGAAGAAATGGACAAATTCTTTGAATGACTCAAACTAGAAAACCCAATTTAAAAAGAAATGTAATAGCTCTATATCAACCACAGTAGTGTGATTTCTAGTGAAAAATCTTCCCACATAGAAAATTCTACACCCAGATGGGTTCATTGGTGAATTCTACTGATCATTTAAGGAAGAAATACTGCCAATTCTATAAAAACTCTTCCAAAAAATTGAAGAAGAGAGAATACTTCTTATGTTTTGAGGCCAGTATTACCCTGATGAAAAAACTAGACAAAGATGTTACAAGAAAATAAACCTTCAGGCTATAGCAACATTTTTCTAGATATGTCTCTTGAGGCAAGGGAAATCAAATAAAAAATAAACTATCGGGACTACATCAAAATAAAAAGCTTCTGCACAGCTAACGGAACAATCAACACTAAGAGTCAACCTACTGAATGGGAGGGGATATTTGCAAATGACATATCCAATAAAGGATTAGTATCCAAAATATTTAAAAAAACAATGCAACTCAACACCCCAAACCCAAATAATTCAATTTAAAAATGGACAGAAGACATGACCAGACATTTCTCCAACGAAGACATACAGTTGTCCAACAGACACATGAAAGGATGCTCAACAATCACTTATCATCGGGGAAATACAAATTAAAACCACAATGAGATATCACCTCACATCTGTCAGAATGGCTAACATCAATAACACAAGAAACAATAAGTATTGGTGAGGATGTGGAGAAAAGGGGATCCCTCTTGCACTGTTGGTGGAAATGCAAACTTGTACAGCCATTCTGGAGAAGAGTATGGAGATTCCTCAAAAAAGTTACCTTGAGATCCAGCAATTGCACTACTAGGTATTTACCTAAAGAATACAAAAATAGCAACTCAAAGGGATACATGCACCTCTATATTTATAGCAGCATTATCTACAATAGCCAAGTTATGGAAACAGCCCAAGTGTCCATCAATAGATGAATGGATAAAGAAGATGTGGTGTATATATATACACACACATACAATGGAATATATTATTCAGCTATAAAATAGAATGAAACCTTGCCATTTACAACAACATGGATAGAGCTA